AGGCCTCCTCTGGAGCCCCTTAGATACCCAAGTCTAGGGCTTCCAGGACTCCATGTGAGTGGGAGCCCTTGTCTTTGTGGTGTTGGGCTCAGGATTACCACTCTGGTCAGGCTGAGCACTCTTCTTGCCCTCAGGCCATCATGATGAGCATCTGCTTACAGTCCATGGTAGATGAACTGATGGTAAAGAAATCTGGCGGCAGTATCAGGAAGGTAGGCAGCAGTGTGGGCTAAGCAGCTGAGCGGTCGTGCTCCCCCTGCCTTTTGTCCTAGGTGTGAAGTTTCTCTTGAGAGGAAGAGGAAGTGATCCTGCCCTCACCAGCACTTTGTGTCTGTCTGTAGATGCTGCGCCGGCGGGTAGGAGGCACCCTGAGACGCTCAGACAGCCAGCAAGCAGTGAAGTCCCCACCATTGCTTGTAAGTATTGCCTCCTGGTCAGGACCCTGGCTCCCAACCTTGCCTCACCTCCCCCAGTGAGTCTCTGACACCTCTGCCTCTTCTTCCCCAGGAGTCACCTGATGCCAGCCGGGAGTCTGTGGTCAAACTCTCAGTGAGTTACAGGGTTGGCGAGGTTGGTATTTACAGGGGATCTCACAGACTCAAGCCCTCTGACCCCCACCCTGCCTTTGTTACAGAGTAAGCTGAGTGCTGTGAGTTTGCGGGGAATTGGCAGTCCCAGCACAGATGCCAGTGCCAGTGATGTCCACGGCAATTTCGCCTTTGAGGGCATTGGAGATGAGGATCTATAATCTCCACTGCTTGGATGTCTGCCCTCTACCCCAGAGGAATTTACAGAAACTTGCCCTGTGCCTGTGTCCCCCAAGCTAGGGGGTCTTTTCCTTCCTCCTTCCTACCTTCCCTTTTGCTCCTTTTGGCCAGGGGCCTTCTAACACACCTTCCCTTCCCCCCTGGGCTGGCTGCACAAAGGATTGCTCCCTCTCTTTTCAGAGCTGGCCCTCAATGCCAAATTAGCATTTAGTATTTTGCACAAAGTCCAAGGGACTATGGCTACCTGCCTTGGGGGAAGAACACAGCTCCCCCGGGCTGCTTCTAGCTTTTTGGGGCCATGGGCCAAGGGCCAAGGGGATGGGCAGAGGTCTGTGTATGGTCTGGCCCAGCTCCCCCGTCATTAAACTCAGCCTGATTGCTGCCTACCTCTGTTTCCCTCTCACTGCCCCTGCCTCCCCATCACAGCATGGATTTCTATGCTAAGGGTAAGGCCAAACTGTGCTTGCCATTGCCAATTCAGCATAGACATGGCTTTGTTAGTGTTTCCTTTATTATAAAGCACTGAAATAAGTTAAATAAACAGGTGGGAGGCTGGTTAGTCCCCCAGCCAGTTCATCCACAGCCCCTGGGAGCAATGGAGGCAAATACAGGGCCCTTGTCACTGAGCTCATGAAGTGCATCAGTCAAGGCAAGGCCCCTTGGTCCATATGGGCCCCGTGCCCGTAGGGTTCGGCTGGTTTTTAGAGCGCCTAGGTTAGTCTGTGTGGAGCCCCTGGCCAGCGGGGGACAAAGGAGAAGGTGGCTTCTGGTCCGTCTGTATAAAACATGGGGAAGAAGGACCTAGTTCAGGGTGAGTCTGTATGGAGAGCCCGGTTACCAGCAGTGCCCAGGGCTGGTGGACCCCGAGAGCTCAAAACAGAAGGTGGGCTATGAGGTGGGACCCAGCCCTCAGAGGCAGAGAGGCCAGGCCCTCCTGCCCCACCATGACCATGCACCTTCTGGTGGCGCTTGTAGTTGTCCCAGTGGCCTGTGGTATAGGCGCAAGTGGCACAGCGGAAGGGCTTCTCGCCTGTGTGCCGCAGCATGTGGCGTTTGAGGTTCATGCTCTGGTTGCAGCTGTAGTTGCAAAGACTACACCGAAAAGGTTTGTCACCAGAGTGGATGCGACCATGACGCTTGAGGTTGGCCAGGTTGCCACAGGCATAGGGGCAGAGGGGGCACTTGTAGGGCTTCTCTCCTGTGTGGACACGCTGGTGCCGTTTCAGGTTATCCAGATGAGCAGAAGCGTAAGGACAGCGAGCGCAGCGGAAGGGCTTCTCACCACTATGTGTCTTCATGTGCCGGGCCAGGTGGTTAGGATAGTGAGTGGCAAAGGGGCAGAGGCTACAGGCAAAGCCTTTGTCACTGGGGCCCTGGGGTCCCCCACTGGCACCCCCTCCAGCCTCTCCTCGCATGCAGCGCCCACACATGGCAGCTCCCAGCCGACTACCCTCACCCTCCTCCAGCTCTTGTCCACAGCCCCGGCAGGTCCAAGGGAACAGCAGCTCTGGCAGTGGTTCTGATCCAGTTCCACAAAGGCCCTCCCCTTCACCCCGCAGCTGTCCACAGTCTGGCAGGAAACTGGTACCACCTGGTGGCACGTGAAGGCTCAAATCTGGAAGGAGCAGAGCATCTGTGGGGAAAAGGAGACCTGGATTATGAATCCAATTATCCTAGAGCCACCCACCCATCTCCCAGGATCTTTGGTTACTAGCCTTTTACCTTCAGGTCGCCGAGGCACTGCCCCCTCCTGCTCTGGGGGACTGGGAGGCCGGGTTGGTCGTGGAGCACAGCAGCGGAAGCCACAGGTCGGGCAGGGAGGAGTGGGGGGCCCTGCGTGGGTACGCTGATGCCGCCTCAGGTTGCCCAGGCTGCTGCAGGCAAAGGGGCAGTGGGGACAGCGGTAGGGCTTCTCGCCAGTGTGGGTGCGGGTATGTCGTGTCAGGTTGACGAGCTGGGCTGAGGCGTAGGGGCAGCGGCCACAGCGGAACGGCTTCTCCCCGCTGTGTGTCTGCATGTGCCGCTTCAGGTGGCTCGAGTAGTGGGACACGAAGGTGCAGAGGCGGCATGAGTACAGTAGCCGTGGGGGCAGCGGGGGCCCCCCACCCGGCCCTCCTGCCCCACAACACGGCCCCTCACCTGTCAGCCCCCCACACAGCTGGCAGGCTGGGCCTGGCCTCTCACCCCTGGCCTCCCCTGGACCCCTGGCTGGCTCCTCAACTTCACTCTCAGCACTTAGTGCCCGGCCGCCCCCAGACTCGTCGTCGCTCAGCCCATAGGGAAGCCCAGGCCTGGTCCCCAGAGAGTCTCCTGCAGAGACAAACATGATAAAAGACATCAGCATGGGGTAGGATCAGGCTTTAATCTCCCCTTTTCACTTATGATCTCCCCACTTGCTTGGCCCTACTGTTCTCTTTTTTTTTCTTTATGAAAGCCTTTGGTCCAATACTGTTCTCTTTCTTAGCTTTGATGATCCCTTTAGTTCCCTCCTAGGGATCAAGGTGTTCCCCTCCAGTGATTCTAGAAAACTGAACATGAACTGTCTACCTCTAAGCCTGCACTGTCCTAGTGATGGTAGAATTGAGCTGTATCTAGTTTTGCTGAATGGAAAAGGATCAAGGGCTCATGGTGGACCACAAACTGAAATGAATCAATAACATAATTCTTGGGATAAGAAAGTAAAAATACAAAAGGCAGAGGAGGCCTGAGAACTTTTTCTAAGCTCTATATTAGTATTGCCCCTTTTAGTATGGAGCTGGTTATAAAGTAAAACCTATCTCTGAGGCAAAATTTGGAGGGAAGTGGAAACAAATGAGAATAATGCATGTAATACTACTTACATGTCTAAAGGACAGATTCATGTTTACATGATTCCCTCAATGACTTAAAAAAAATCCTTCATAAGTGGCTTAAGTGAGTGGGTACGGCAGCAAATTAGGGTAGGGTGATGCTGAGATCACAGGGAAGAGCAATGTGGAAGGATATATAAAGACAAACCCAAACCTCTCAATACAAAAGAGCTTATGCTTCAGGTAAAAAGAAGTTTAAAGTACTGACTTGAATGATTTACTGACAGGCTGCTTCCCTAAACCTCTTAAAAGTAAACACACAAGGAATGGGTTGGGGAGGGTGACAAGGGTATTTACATTTAACCAGTTGCTCCATGTGATTCACCCACACTCCTTCCTATTCACACCACCTTTGACCATGCCCCAGAACTTCACTTCAGCAAAATGATGGAACTGATTGGACCATTAAACAAATAAAGTAATCTAGCACAAATGTAAACTAAACCAGCCCTAAGTTGCGACAGGAAATGGTGTTTTGCTCACTGACACTAAAGCCTAACCTGCCTCTTGAGGGGCCGAGGTCACCAGTGGTCACAAATTCTTAACCAAGTTCCCCAAACCCACCTTCAGAGTCTCTCTCGAAGCCCATGAGCTGGTCACTGTTGCCGTCACCTTCCTCCTCTTCCTCTTCCTCCTCAAACTCCAGATCCTGGCCTAGTAGTAAATCACTCTCCAATACCAGGGCCCCAGGTCCTTCGTCGAGGGAATCTTCAGTATCCACTGAAGAGGGGAGGGGGGTTGTGGATTTTCCCTCAGGAGCCAGGCCTCGTGGACCACACTTCCCGTACTCGGTGACCCTTTCGGGTTCCCTTAGTACCTCGGTGGTAAGCTAGGAGTCCAGATGGCCCACCCCATCCCTCAAGAGTCCCTCTCCACCCCGACCTGAACCCACTCCACTGACCCCACCCCCGCTCCTCCCCCATCAAGGCCCCTGACCCCTGACCTTTGACCCCCTCGCATTTCACAGGCTGCGGGTGGCTTTGCTTCCTTCGGGGCATCGTGACCGGCTCCAGCCCGACGCGACTCCGGCCTGCGGCCGCCCGGCCCCGCCCCTCCCAACTCGGCTCGCCCGTCCGCCCTTCCTCTCAGGGCCCGCGGGCCACCCCCATGCAGCGGCGCGGGTCCTGGGCAGCCCCCGGCCCTGGCCCCGGCGCCCAACTCAGGCCGCTCCCGCCGCCGCCGCCGCTTCCATTCATGGAGCCCCCTACCCCCCTACGGAGACCAGCTGGTACCTCCGTACTCGCTTCCGCTTCCGCTGCCGCACAGCCGCACGGGACGCGTAGTCCCTGGGAAGTAGCAGCGGCAAGGGCCCCTGCGGCCTGACCAGGAAGTGATTGTGACGAGAACCGGCGGGGGGGCCAACCAGCAGCCGTGGGGAAACCCGGGCGGCGAGCCCGGCCCTCTGGCGTCTGACTTCGGCCCGCCAGACCGCTCCTGACCCCTCCCTGGAGGAACTAGGAACTCATTCTCCCGACTCCAGAAGGTGAGGAAGGGCCGCGAAGTCAGGCCAGCCTGACTTCGCGCGAGGGGGCCAGCAGCTCCCGGCCCCCTCGCGCGCGTATACACACACACTCACACACACGTGCACACGGAAGAGCTCGCTAGATGCTACCGTTGGGGCAGAATCTGGGGCCACAGCAGCAGAGGGGAAAAAAAGCACACCATAGGCACAATTAGGTTTTGGCCTTTAGTCTGAAAAAGTGTTGATTGAAAGTGTACAACAGAGAGCGGGTGCAAGCGGCTGGGGGCCATGGAGCCGCCAATAAAAAAGAATGTCCTTAAATAAAGTGTTCACAGAGTAAAAACCAGAACCGCCAGTCCTTCCCTCCAACACAACAGAGCACAGGCACAGAACCGGTGATGAGCCCAAGGAGCACGTCGGCGGCTGGGGAGGACAGCAGAGGCTCCCAGGCTGCTGTGTGGAGGGAGAGCCCTCTTTGGAATGGGCTGAGTAAAGCCACCCAGCTCCCCCTGCACACCATACCCACTGCTAAGGCTAAAGGAAAAAGACAAAACTCAGTCTCAGGTCCGGAGGGCTCAGAACAGTCTAGGTGGGCAGGGTTCTCGATGACTGCTAGTCCCGCTTGGCCTTCTTCTTGTCGCTGTTGCCATTTTCTTCAGCCCCCTCAGCAGAGAGCACTTCTTCTAGTTTCCGCTTGCCACTCTCTGGCTGGAGCTCTGCTGTGTTTCGGGGCTTGAAGCAAATGATGATGCAGGTCATGTTGTCACACCCTGTACCATCCCCAGAAGTGTCTGGTGCCAGGCATTGATCCAGCAGCTACAAAAGGGATGAGGTAGCTCAGCCACAAGGTTTGAACACCTTCCTGGGAACCTAGAGTCCCACAACAGGGCTTGCTAATACAGGGTGGTAGAAAGAGAGGAATGGGCAACAGGTATCATCACAAAACAGCCACTTGCTAGTCCCTGAGGCATAGGCTAAGTCAGGGAAATGATGGAAGGTGGTATATTTAGTCAGGGTTTGACATCCATTAGTTGTTAATGGTACTCCCAGGCTCTGGCTGTAAGCCCAGGTGGAGAGAGTAAACCTTGGCTGTGCAGACCCCCACACACTCTCTTCACCCTGGGACTCACCTCTTCCACAATGGATGACAATAACCGAAGCTCCCCATTTTCATCACGCTGGCTGATCTTTGATTGAATAAAGTCTACAACTTCCTGGCTGCTCATCACATTCCTGGGGTCAAAAACAATAGTCAAAATCTTCTTTAGTCTCACCAAGGCAGAGTAGACAAGTGTAGCTAGAAGTGGTGACCCAGACCAATGTAAACACCTACAGAATTTTCCTTAGCTCTGCCTTAGGCTCGGTGGTCTTGACTCACCAAGAAGTCTGCCTAGGCTCTAACCTTAGAGGAGCTCCATGCCCTATAAAAGAAGTTATGCCACAGAAAGGGGATTTTAGGGCATTCTGCCAGTGCTCACCAGATGCCATCACAAGCAATGACCATAAATTCATGGTCGTCAGTGAGAGTCAGCACCTTGATGTCAGGAAGGGCTGAAATCATCTGTTCCTCGGGTGGCAGGTTCTTGTTTCTTTTATAGAAGTGGTCTCCTGAAGTAAAAGAATGGTGGTTTGATGAGTAGTTTGAACATTTGCCACAAACTTGTTTGAGGTGGGTCAAACTTTGCCATTCATTTCCCTTCTTTACAAAGTTCTATTATCTAGTGGAATGGAGAACTGAGTTCTAGCTTTTCTAGTTTCAGTCCTGTCATCGGGTTGCTGAACCTTAAGTAAGTGGTCTTTTTCATCAGCTGGAAGGTACTAACGACAATAATAACCAGCTTAGTTATTTCACAGAGATGTCTAAAGACAAAGGTAGTAGAAATTAAAACATTTTGAAATGTACAAAGGCTAAGAAGATTAAAGTTTGCTATTAAGTAGTCTGGAATGGAGAGCAAGACCCCAGAAATCTTTCCCATAGTTTCTTGGCCCTTACCAATGGCTCTGGAGAGGTTGAGGCCCCCGTTGACTCGCCCATCCATGGTGACCTTGCCACCAGCATTCTTGATGCGTGCTAGCTCTACTTCATCCTCTGGTTTATGATCATAGGACATGTCTAAAGCTTTACCAGCCTCAGATACCACACAGCGAGAGTCTCCTGCATTGGCTACAATCAACTGTTTTCCTCGTATCAGAGCCACCACTGCAGTTGTACCACTGTCAGAGCCAGGCTTAGGAAGAAAAATGGACAAAAATGGATGTGAAGATGTAAGTTCTTCATTGATGCACACCTAACCATTCCCCATGCTTTCTCCTTTCACTGGGAACCCCAGAGCACAGGCTTCATCTTTCCAGAGACAGTATACACTCCCCATGTTGTAGGTGACTCTACCCAAAAGGCTTACCACCTAGTTCCCCTTGCAAAATAAATCCACGTGACCACAACTTTTGTACTAAAGTATGAAGGGATCCCTGTCTCAAAATCAGAATCAGGGCAGCCTGAGCAAGAGCGAGACCCCGTCTCTACTAAAAATAGAAAGAAATTAGCTGAACAACTAAAAATATATAGAAAAAAATTAGCCGGGTATGGTGGCACATGCCTGTAGTCCCAGCTACTTGGAAGGCTGAGGCAGAAGGATTGCTTGAGCCCAGGAATTTGAGGTTGCTGTAAGCTAGGCTGGTGCCATGGCACTCTAGCCCAGGCAACAGAGTAAGACTCTGTCTCAAAGAAAAAAAAAATCAGCATCAGGGGATTCACAACTGCCTGTTGGCTTTTCCAGATTCACGGCTCCCCTTCCCCACACACCTCCTCTTTGCCTTCCATTCCAGGCACCATCATCTCTTCTTCTTCTTCATCCTCCTCTTCGGCCTCCTCAGTGTCATCCTCATCTTCCTCATTCTCTGCCTCCTCACTGCTATAGCCATCCTCTTCTTCACTGCATTCCTGCCAGAGTGAGGATCCCAGACTGCTGAGGCTGGGATGACCCCCTGCCCCCCTCCCCCCAACTCACACTCAGAACCAAGAGGCCCTGACTATACACAGGTCCTCAAAACACTGAAAGATACAACTATATGATCAGGAAAATCTCGGGGAGGAGAAAGGGCTAGGATGAGTATGACAGACATCCTGAACTGGGCTTAGCAGTCACTGGCAAGAAGCCCAGGGGAAAGCCAGGGCTGTCAGCCAGCTACATGGTCAGAAATAAATTGCCCAGTGAAGGAAACACCCAAATATCCAAGGTAGCAACAACGATCTTCTTGTTCTCTCTCTAGGAGACAGACTCTGAAAGGCCAGAACTAGATCTATTTGTTATAGTATCAACAAAGGAAGAGGTAAGAAGGAAAATGGCACCTGTGATGGTAGAGATTGATGAATTTTAGAAGTCTAAAGCTTAGAACACAGTGGATCTTGGGGAATGATGTCAAACCAGGAGAAGGAAAAGAGTTGAAAGCTACAGATGGCAACCAAATAGGCCCTCTCTGCAACTTCACCATCTGCCTGCCCTCACAGGCCCTTACCTCACTGTCTTCCTCTTCCTCCTCCGCCTCATCTGACTCATCCTCACTGTCCTCAAAGAACTTGGACTTAGCAACTCGAGGCAGCTTGTTGGAGGCTGAAGAGCAGGAAGGCCCAGCCTCACCAGTGGGAGTGCCAGGCTCACCAACTTGGCCTGGCTCAGTCCCACGTTCCGAGCTGGAGGAAAGGCCTGTGTGGGCTTTGGCTGTGGGGCCATTTTCCTGTGAAGGAGTTTCCCTAGATGGGTCCTCAGGTCCTGCCTCCCCATTGAGGTCCTGGGACCCTGGTTCCTCGCCTGTCCCAGCTCCAGATTTGCTGTGGGGAGGGCCCTTGTGACAGTTCTGCCCGTAGCGTGTCAGCAGCTCTTCAATAGTCATGGTAGCCTCTTCATGCAGCAGTGCAGTCTCCTCATTGTCCACTGCAGGGAAGAGGCTAAATCAGAGCCCCCATGCCAGACTCCTCAAGGGACCAGTCCCTCTCACTACCGACAGCCCTTGCAGCCTAAGCTCAAACTTCCCCACAACCTCCCACTCCTAAGGCTCCTCTCACTTAATCAAGTCTCAGAAGAATATCCCCTAGCTTCTTTCTTCACAGATATTTTCTGACTTTGTGTTTCACTCCCTTCTTAGTCAAGGGAACACAACTAATTCTATATTTCCCCTCTCACTTCTCATTTGTTATTGTTAAATTGGAAACCCTATTCTGGCTGAGGACCCAGGAAGCCTACAGTACTAGTCTAGGCCTAGGGTAAAGGCTTGATGAATAGCTACTGGGGCTAATGACTGCTCCAGTGTTGAAAAAAAGGCACACGAATACGAACAGGAACTAGGAAGACCCCATCACAATGACAAAAGATTATGTATATAAAAATGTTTATTATAACCTAAGACCCTAGCCACTCAACAAAGGTTAATTCTCCCCTTCCTTTTCCTATCCACATGTAGTGCAGGAGAATACCATAGGGTTCTTTAATGTGAGGACTCCTCAGATCCTTAGAAAGCCATTCTCTGTTAGAATTGATAAATAAATAATACATATTAAAGAATACTTTTTTTAAAATGCTGATTTCCCCTCAAACACAGGATGCCATACCCACCATCATCTTCATCAGCTACTTTTTCTTTTTCATCTTCATCCTCAGTGGGTCGCCCTGCAATCTGTGCCAGCTCTTTAATGACTTCCTCAGTGGTCAGTTTGGCATCAATAGCTAAGAAGGCATCTTCTAAAGCCTGGATATAAGCAAAATAGTATAAGACAAGTGTGGGGAAAAGTACAGTGGGTACAAAATAAAATGCCTATATATTCAATCCTGGGCACAAGGATGGGATGCAAATTAGAATGTGATCCATCATGCTAGGTTACACTCAAAGAGAAGTAAAAACGTTGAGACCTGGGAATAATAAAACAGGTCAAAAAGGCCCAATAAGCTCATTTGAGGCACAGAATTCTTTAAGAAGAAATGCAATAGGCCGGGTGGGGTGGCACATGCCTATAATCCTAGCACTCTGGGAGGCCAAGGCAGGCGGATTGCTCGAGGTCAGGAGTTCGAAACCAGCCTTAGCAAGAGCGAGACCCCGCCTCTACTATAAAGAGAAAGAAATTAATTGGCCAACTAATAGAGAAAAAATTAGCCGGGCATGGTAGTGCATGCCTGTAGTCCCAGCTACTTGGGAGGCTGAGGCAGGATTGCTTGAGCCCAGGAGTTTGAGGTTGCTGTGAACTAGGCTGACGCCACGGCACTCACTCTAGCTTGGGCAACAAAGCGAGACTCTGTCTCAAAAAAAAAAAGAAGAAATGCAATAAATCAGCAGCTGCTAGGGGGCAAAGAAGGGAAAGCCTACACAAGCAGGGAACAGTGTGGGGGGACAGACCTTCTGCAGCTTGCCTTCCTTGTAAGCCTTCTGATCTTTGATGATATCAGGGAGGTATTTGGCACAGTACAGGGCAACTTCCTCCCCTAGAAGAAAGGTAAGATAAGTACTGCTTCCCACACATAGAAAGTGATATAATATCTATGTCATATTGGAGTGAAACCCCAGGGTTGAGAGAATAAATATCTTAGCACACCTGAAACCTATTTGAAGAACATTTGGGAAGTTCTAATCCAGAAAATGGATTTCATCATAACCTCTCTCAGGGTATATTAATATATCCCTTGTCTTTTCTCACCTGTATATTTAGTTCTTCAGTGAAAAAAGAAAAATGCTAAGGTAATAAGAGATTTTTTTGGATTAAAACAAGGCCTAGTAAGATTATAAACAATATGATACTCTATTGGGGATAAGGAATGGCAGAATAGAGAAAAATAGCACCAAGCAGGAAATTATATTGAGGACTAGACCCTGGAAAATAAAAGAACAATGGACCTGTTCTTGCCCTGTAAAGTGTGGAATTGGGGTCCTAGAATGTTACCAATATGATCTGCTAAAGTTACCTCCATGTCCATCGTAGACAGAAAACATGGCTGTCTCACTGTCCAGCTCAGGAATACAGTTGTGTGCATCCTAGGAAAAAAGCATAGTCAGCACATCTCAAAGTCAAAGGATATTCCTCCTTGTGCACCTCAGGTCACAAGGATCACCTTCATACCTTAATCTCACTAACCCCGTCCCTGGCTGGCCTACATGGCCTAGAAGTAAGAAAGGAAGATAGGATGATAAAGTAAGAAAAGTAGTACAAGGGAAGGAGAAGGGGAGGGAGGCAAGGAAGGGGGAATGGAAGGGAGGATCTGAGGTTATTACCTCTGTAATCTAGTAGCCTCAACCTAGGAGATCTCAGTCCAGATGGCAGAATATTTGGCTGTTGGAAATAGACCTGACCTGATCCCCAACGGATTTGTGGTAACTACAGGGATAACCAGAATAAAGGATCAAAGTCATTTCCAGACCCATTCTTTAATCTGTGAACTACAAGGAAGAAAATGTTAGGAAAGATATCGAAAAGAGACGTGAGGGCCTTACCAACCTGAAAAGTTTCTAGGAGAATCCTAAAATAGATTAACTGAAAGCATTAGAAATTTGTTAAGCTGTACACAAACGCTAATACAAAGAAAAAAAAAAGCACCATCAAAATGGATTCTTCCTCTTTTCTCAAAGCTTAAGTTACTCAAGAAATTACCCTCAGGCTAGGCAGAGGATATATTTACGAAAGAATATCTTCCAACAAATAATCCTATAAAACTAGGCTGTGTTTAGTGCTTGTTAACTGGAATTTACAACACCCCATATAGTCAGTCTTCCTGCCTCCTACTCCCAGGCAGAAGTGAGACATCATTCAAATCTAATGGCATAGCACACCTAAAGAGAAGTTTGCAATGGCCTCGCCACAGAAATATTTCAGTTGGAAGGCTGAGTTTAATCAAATTCTTCTAATAACAAAATTCTGCCACCCCAAAAACTCATGCTCCAGGCTAAGCCAAAGTTCCACCAATACTGTCAGACCTAGGTAAAAGTGGGCTGTGGCTTACACTGCCCCATCTTGGAAAACAATCCAACCCTCCTTCAGGTACTTTCTACAAACAATAAGGATAAATATTCATCAGCTATTTACTTTGGCTGGTTATCCTTGCATAAGTTAATTCCAATCATAGTTCTTCTTCCTCTTTCAGGCATTAGCATTTTAACATTTCTAATTATATTAATAGTGAGAAAATCTGAGTGCAGTGCTTCCTCTGTTGTTCTTGAAATAAGACTATGCCTTACTTATACAAGTCTAAAAGGCTGGGCTTGGTGGCTCATGCCAGTAATCCTAACACTCTGGGAGGCCAAGGCGGGAGGATCACTTGAGGTCAGGAGTTCAAGACCAGCCTCAGCAAGAGTAAGACTAAGACCCCTGTCTCTACTAAAAATAGAAATAAATTAGCTGGCCAACTAAAAATAGAAAAAAATTAGCTGGGTGTGGTGGCACATGCCTGTAGTCCCAGCTACTCCGGAGGCTGAGGCAAGGATCCCTTGAGCCCAGGAGTTTGAGGTTGCTGTGAGCTAGGCTGATGCCACAGCATTCTAGGCTGGGCAACATAGTGAGACTCTGTCTCAAAAAAAAAAAGTCTAAATAATAAAACTTAGTTATTTTAAGGAAGGAAAGTATCCAGAAAAGGGCTAGTTTTGTACTTCTGTCTGCAGGAGGAAGTGGCCAGAAGCTAAGAGGCTGGCACGAATGGCACTTGATGGCACATAGCTAGGGACATCAACAGTACTGCCTCTTACCCTCATTCTAAGAACCTAGAGAGCACCACAGACCAAAGGTCATCTTCTCCCTCTTCCAACCACTCTACTCCCTGCCACATTAGTCGCCTCCCTTCCCTCTAAGCCAGGGTTTATCTTCCTGGGCCTTCGTTTCTCCTCACCACCATTGTCAGCACCTTCACTGTGCACTTATGATTGTCTATTGCCCCAGCATCCTCTACTAGTGGTTCTCAAACTTGAATGAAGAATTCATTTGTTCATTCACTCACTCATCAAATATCTGAGTACCCATTATGTGACAGGATGTGTTCTAGGTGATTGGAATATATCAGTGAACAAAATAAAGACCAATGCCGATTTAAAAAAAAAACAAAAAAACTTAAAATTCTGGTGAGAGGCTGGGCGCAGTGGCTCACGCCTATAATCCTAGCACTCTGGGAGGCTGAGGTGGGCGGACTGTTCAAGATCAGGAGTTCAAAACCAGCCTGAGCAAGAGCGAGACCCCGTCTCTACTATAAATAGAAAGAAATTAATTGGCCAACTAATATATATAGAAAAAATTAGCCGGGCATGGTGGCGCATGCCTGTAGTCCCAGCTACTTGGGAGGCTGAGACAGGAGGATTGCTTGAGCCTAGGAGTTTGAGGTTGCTGTGAGCTAGGCTGATGCCATGGTACCCACTCTAGCCTGGGCAACAAAGCGAGACTCTGTCTCCAAAAAAAAAAAAAAAAAATTCTGGTGTTAGATATACCCAATAAATAGGAAAAGGAAAAAGTTGAATAAAGTTAAGGAGAACTGGGTTGGATTTCAGAAAAGCAATGGTAGACTTGAATCAGCATGAGATACAGTGTGGTATAGGCATGCTAAATGCATAAGAACCTGTATGGTTCAGTGGTCACTACCTAAGTCATGCTGTAAGTATCTAATTAGTTTCAGCAAAAACAACTGTATCACTTTATAATGTTGATTTTAATCTTGTTGATTTTGCAGTTTGGTTTGCTGGCGTGGAACGTATGTCCAGTTCTATGTTTGTACACATTTAAGTAAGATTCAATTAAAATCATTTTAGTGAGTACTATAGTTCCACCATAAGTATTGATTCCCTTAACAAAAACAAAACCAAAAAACCACGAAAGAAGTCCAAGATATATTGTTAAATAAAGCAAAGTGCAAAACGATGTATATAGTAAGCTGCTTTTTGTGTAAGTAAGAAAGGGATACAGGAATAGATTTGTCTTTTCATCTACAGGGATACACAAAAAAACAAAAGTGGTTAAGGCAGGGCATAAGGGTACAGACAATGAGAAGCAGCAGCATGGGAATGTTTAACTTTTTCAAAAGTAAATGTTTTTTAAAAGACTCAATTTATTAGTAACATGTGAGAAGCTGACCCAACTAATTCCACTTTTTTGGTAGGTGAGGGAGAAACAATCTTCCTGTCCACTCCTTCCAGTGGAACAAGAGGATCAAATGGGTCTTTTCCTGTCCTGCAATGCCACTCCAGATCACAGCTGTACTCTCTCTTTTGTACCCACATCCTCTATTCAAACCCTCTTTTTGACTTCCTCTTTTGCTCCTCACAAGAGCGAGCAATTTTGAAGCAGAAGGCTCTAGTCCCAGTGAGCATATGAAAAAAATATATAGCCTCATTAGTAATCAAAAAATAAACATTAAAACAGAAATATTCTTTTGTGGCCTGGTGCGTGGCTCACGCCTGTAATCCTAGCACTATGGGAGGCCGAGGAGGGTGGATTGCTCGAGATCAGGAGTTCAAAACCAGCCTGAGCAAGAACGAGACCCCGTCTCTACTCTACATAGAAAGAAATTAATTGGCCAACTAATATATATAGAAAAAATTAGCCGGGCATGGTGGCACATGCCTGTAGTCCCAGCTACTCGGGAGGCTGAAGCAGAAGGATTGCTTGAGCCCAGGAGTTTGAGGTTGCTGTGAGCTAGGCTGATGCCATGGCACTCACTCTAGCCTGGGCAACAAAGCGAGACTCTGTCTCAAAAAAAAAAAAAAAAGAAATATTCTTTTGTGAAAAATTACACTGATGAAAAATATTAATAATATCCAGTGGCAGTAAGAGTGAAGATAAGGTTGGTCTGAGTGCAGTGGTGTTTACAACTGATCAAACAGTTATAGATTCCTTTGTTCCTTCTCCACTCCCACTGCTTCACTTGACCAGCAAAAGTAAAAACACATTCTCATATATTGATTGATAGGAATATAAAGTAGTACAGCTTTTCTGGAGGGCAATTTGGTAACATGTATCAAAATTCCTAATGTGCATGCCCTTTGATCTAATAATTTGACTTCTAAAAGCTTATTTTATGGAAGCAATTAGAGAAGGGTAAAGATACATGTAAGAATTATACATAATAAAAGCATTATTTATAATAAAAAATAATTGTAACCATCTAAATTTCCAGGATAGATTACAAATGGTACATTCTTTCAATGGAATATATGCAGCTATTAGAAGCAAATATGTGTTAATTTGGAAATGAGTTCACAATATATTAAGTGATAAAAAGGAAAAAGTAAAAAAAGCATCTCTATGTATATTATCAGTGTCTGGAAGATCACATATCAAACTTAACAGCGGAAGGTAAGATTTGGGTAATAATTAGTTTTTACTTTTCAAAATTTTCACTTTTGTATAATAAGCCATATTATTCTATTCTGAATGACAACAAGCAAACCTATGAATTGGCTTTGAGTTGCTGTTCTACCATACACTGCATGATCTCTGGCCAGCTACCTTGTAGTGTGCCTCAACTTTATCCTCCATAATACAGAATAACAATGTCTACCTCACCCACATCATCACAGGACTGTTTCAATTCCCCCCCTTTACATCTTTGCTCATAACCTTTACCCTTCCCTTTCTTTCTATCCCTTTCTGAGCCACAGCCAAGTATTTCAACAGTCTCTTAGCAATCTAGAAAAACTCATCTAACCTTGTATAACCCCACCAACTGCTTTCTTCACCCCTGAATCAGAACCATTAAGTATTGCTAGTCATAAAATGTTATGAGATCATACTGACTGTGGTTACTACTTCCATTCAGCACTTTTTTTCCTGTATCCTATATTGATTCCTGAACACACACAGCTAGCTACAAATCTTTCCCATACTATTCAAGTTCTAGATGCTACTCTCCTTTTACCCTTAGTAAGCTCACCTCTTACATTAAGGTGTTATTTCAAGAACTACCTCATCTTCCTTGTTCTACCTCAGAATTTCTCCATAGATTTAATCTCTTTTACTTACTGCCTCAAACATAGTATTTCTCCTCTCTTCCTAGATTAACATTTCCTCTGAAATTCCTGATCTCAAGTACGTCTCCTTAAAGACTTTACAGAGAAGAGCATAACCTTAACTGCAATCCAAATAGTCATTTTGGCTTGATGTGATGGCTCACATCTGTAACTCCAGCACTTTGGGAAGCTGAGGCAAGAGGATCACTTGAGGCTAAGAGTTCTAGACCAGTCTGGGGAATCCACTGAGACCCCATCTCTACAAAAGAAATCTTACAAAGAAAGGAAAAAAAATAGCCATTTTGCAGGCTTCATTCTCCCCAACCACTGTGTAGGATTAAATAGTATAAATCATGTCACTTTTCTTGAAAGTTCTCTTGAATTCTGTGACAAACTGTAGTTCTATACCTCCTACTACCTATTTCTACAGGATGTCAGTCCCTTCTCTACCTCAAACTTAACATTGTTTCACCCATCTCCGTAACCTAATCTCTTAACTCTTATACCATTTTTCTGAATAGAAGCTAATCTTTTTTTTTTTTTTTTTTTGATACAGGGTCTCAATCTGTTGCCCAGGCTGGAGTGCAGTGGCATGAACCTGTTGTCTCAGCCTCCTGAGTAGCTGGGACTATAGGCATGCACTACCACACCGTTAATTTTTAATTATTTTCGTAGAGACAGGGTCTTGCTATTTTACCAGGTTGGTCTCAAATTCCTGCCCTCAAGAGATCCTCCTAGCTTGGCCTCCCAAAGTGCAGGGATTGTGGGCATGTGCCACTATGCATAGCTTCTATTCTTGACATTGACACCTCCCTCCCCCCAAGCAAAGTAGTGAGCATGTCTGCCTCACAGTCTTTCCTTCTATCTCTCCTAACACCTTTCCTTTCCCCAATTTCCTCCTCCCCATTTATCTGTTATACTCTCCATAAGGTCCAGTTAAAGTCTCACTACCCTCCAGGAGACTTTTTCCAACCAAACCAATACTCTAAACTCTCTCAGAATTTCTTGCCTTTACTATAATTGGCACTCAGCATATGCTACCTTGTATTGTTATCAAACATTCCATGGGGGAGAGGGAGTCCTAGGTCCAAAACTGGATTTTAAATCACGACAGGGCCGGGCGCGGTGGCTCACGCCTGTAATCCTAGCTCTCTGGGAGGCTGATGTGGGGTGATCCCTCGAGGTCAGGAGTGTGAAACCAGTCTGAGCAAGAGCGAGACCCCATCTCTACTATAAATAGAGAGAAATTAATTGGCCAACTAATATATATAGAAAAAATTACCCGGGCATGGTGGCACATGCCTGTAGTCCCAGCTACTCGGGAGGCTGAGACAGTAGGATTGCTTGAGCCCAGAAGATTGAGGTTGCTGTGAGCTAGGCTGATGCCACGGCACTCACTCTAGCCTGGGCAACAAAGCAAGACTCTGTCTCAAAAAAAAAAAAAAATCATCATAACAGCAAAGACTGTCTTAAATCTCTTTATAGCTTCGGGCCTAACAATATGTTCTGTAATATAGCAGGCCCTCCTTATTTGCTTATGATAGTGAGTTTCCCGCTGCCTCAGAACAACTACTTTAAGGATACCTCTTCCTTCATTTCCTACCCTAAACCCAGAGATATAACACAGTAACCACTGAAATAGTCTGAAGGAGATGACTCAGAATACACACAGGTCACCCAAGTCAAGGCTGTTTAGGCCTTGCCTTACTAAATCATATCACACAGCCCTTCTGACCTTCTAGACAACCAATGCTTCTATATTAATAAAGGGTTGGTTATCCTACCTGATATCAATCTCCTGAGGTTATATTAATATATCCAAAGATCCTGTGTCCCAGGATAAACCATTTAGATTTCTAATATATAATCTAAATCCTTACAAATCAAGATAAAAGATTTAAAAGTAGTTGGTTGGGACAGTGAACTGTTTTTGGTTTTAAAAAGTCATGTAGGCCGGGCATGGTGGCTCACGCCTGTAATCCTAGCACTTTGGGAGGCCGAGGCGGGCGGATTGCTCAAGATCAGGAGTTCGAAACCAGCCTGAGCGAGACCCTGTCTCTACCAAAAAAAACCAGAAATAAAATTGATTGACCAACTAAAAATATATATACAAAAAATTAGCCGGGCATGGTGGCGCATGCCTGTAGTCCCAGCTACTCGGGAGGCGGAGGCAATAGGATCGCTGAGCCCGGGAGTTTGAGGTTGCTGTGAGCGAGGCTGACACCACGGCACTCACTGTAGCCTGATTGACCAACTAAAAATATATATACAAAAAAAATTAGCTGGGCATGGTGGTGCATGCCTGTAGTCCCAGCTACTTGGGAGGCTGAGGCAGGATCACTTGAGCCCAGGAGTTTGAGGTTGCTGTGAGCTAGGCTGATGCCCCAGCACTCACTCTAGCCTAGGCAACAAAGCGAGACTCTGTCTCAAAAAAAAAAAAAAAAAAAAAGAATAAAAAATAAAAAATCATGTGATGCCGGGCGTGGTGGCTCACGCCTGTAATCCTAGCACTCTGGGAAACAAGTTGGAAGGATTGCTTGAGGTCAGGAGTTCAAGACCACCCTGAGCAAGAGCAAGACCCCATCTCTACTAAAAATAGAAGAAAAAAAATTAGCCAGTCAATTAAAAATAGAAACAAAAAATAAGCCAAGCGTAGTGGCTCACACCTGTAGTCCCAGCTACTTGGGAGGCTGAGGCAGGAGGATCACTTGAGCCCAGGAGTTTGAGGTTGCTGTGAGCTAGGCTGATGCCCCAGCACTCACTCTAGCCTAGGCAACAAAGCGAGACTCTGTCTCAAAAAAAAAAAAAAAAAAAAAAAGCCACATAATATTATCTGCCTTAAAATTATATACATGTTATTACTTTGATAATAAAAAAATCAGAATCAATAATGCTAATTACCAATCATGGGAATGGAGAAGATTCTTTTCCTTATTTTATCCACCAAAGAATTCTTTTTTTTTTTAATACAGAGTCTCACTCTGTTGCTCGGGCTAGAGTGCCATGGTGTCAGCCTTGCTCACAGCAATCTCGGATTCCTGGGCTTAGTCTATCCTCCTGCCTCAGCCTCCCAAGTTGCTGGGACTACAGGTATTCACCACCATGCCCAGCTAATTTTTCCTATATATTTTTAGTTGTCCAGCTAATTTATTTCTATTTTTAATAGAGACAGGGTCTCAGTCTTGTTCAGGCTGGTCTTGAACTCCTGAGCTCAAATGATCCTCCTGCCTCAGCCTCCCAGAGTGCTAGAATTACAGGTGTGAGCTACCACGCCTGGCCTATCCACCTAAAGAATTCTTTTATTCTAGTTTGGGGAAAGAAAATTATAGTTTGGGATATACAAAAAAAAATCATATTTAACTTTAATCATAAAAATAAACTCTTCCTTTTTGGAGTAGTAATTTTTTGAAAAATGATTACCATA